CCTCCAAAATTAGAGAATATTTACCTAGAATTGATTTATTCCCTCCTCCATTGTCACTTATAAGCCATGGAGTTTCATGTCTCAACATTGCCCCCTGGTGTTCAAAGTGAGGAGGGGACACATTTTCCTAATTCTCTGAGGAGATTCTCTACGTCCAGATGTTTCCTCTATATGAGAATGGCCGTTTGGATGTTTGGAAAGATCATCCTGAACTTTCATTTTCAGATTTTTTTTCATGGTACCAAACGAAAATAGGGGTAAACTTTGTCTTAGTTCATTTAGTGACTGTTCAAAGTTACAACATCAATGAAAAAAAGTGACTTATGACCACTTGTCCCACTTATGAGAGTGGCAGAATCTCCCTGGTCAAACGCTCAAAATTCAGACGCTTGGCAACTGACGCATATTTATGAGTCATATTTATTCAATTTCATTGTACACATGTTGTGCATTGACAATAAAGATTTGATATGATTTGATCTGATGACCTTTGGGGTGAATTGGCATCTTTTGATCACCTTTTCCGTCCTTCTGATAAGCAAAGTCAACGAGGAACCCAGACTCACTTTAGAATGAATTACTAACTTAAACACTGCAGTAATTCACTTAAACATTGTTGCAAGAAATACGATTGTGTGTATTAATTCTTTTATACACCAACTCTCTGACTTTATTCGGGTTTGATAAGGATCATCTTCACCATCCATGCCTCCATTGTGCTGATGATGAGTCTTTCATTTTTGAGTATATCAGTTTCCTTTCAGTTATCATATATAAAAAGAAACCTCCATGACTTTTTTTATTAGCTTCCTCTCTATTAATCCGAAATGAAAACTTTCTGCTTTCAATTCTAGTTTAACCTTCAGAATCTTCTGGATAGGTGTTTGTATCTGTACCCAAATACACACACACACAAACACACACACTGCAATTGTCAATTGCCCAGTTGAAAGGAGAAAGCTTCAGGCATCAGGGGATTTTATACAGATTTAAGAAGGACAGAGAGTCAGGTTTAAGCATACGGGGTATAAATAAATGGGGAAGGAATGGAAAACGAGTATCATGTAGGAAAGTATGAGACTGAAGAAATTCAGCAAGGAAGGAAATAAAAGGACTGAGTGTAAATAAGTGTAAGCTGTTCAGAGGCAGAGAAGGTTCTTGGTGGGCTTCAGATTCACTTCCTCTCACTGTGTCTCTCGCACAGTAATAGACAGCTGTGTCTTCTGCTTTGAGGCTGTTCATTTGCAGATACAGCTGGCTTTTGGCATTGTCCCTGGAGGCGGTGAAGCGGCCCTTGACTTTGTCTGAGTAGTAAATTGGAGATGAGCCTGGATGTATGCTGGCCACCCATTCAAGTCCTTTCCCTGGAGCCTGTCTCACCCATTGCATGTAATAGCTGCTGAAGGTGAATCCAGAGGCTTGGCAGGAGAGACGGAGGGACTCCCCAGGTCTTCTCACATCCCCTCCAGACTCCACCAACTGAACCTGAGATCGGACACCTAAAAAAGAAAAATGGTTCAATGAGATCTCCTATATACGGGAACAGCAAATGGAAGGAGCCTCTACATAAAACGAAATATTACCTCCAAAGGATGCAAGAAAAAATACCAAGTTCAGCCACAGGGTCATTTTGACTCCTTCTAATGAATGGAGGGAAATTGAAAGGAGAGAATTTGAGGAAATGCACAAACTTTGTGTAGGTGGGTGTCTCTGGAAAAGGAACCAACTTTTGCCTTTAAAGGGGAAATTGAGCCTTTATTTACATATTGGTTGACATAAAATAATTCCTCAGAACAGGGATTTTCATAGTTGCCCTTGTACACTCCTTCCACACTTGATTTTTGTACAATTTTCCAGTCCAAGGAAGAATGAGCCTTTGCATAAGATTAACTAAAACAAAGACTTGCAAAATTTCACCACTTCTCAAATGTGATTCAAAGCAACACATTGTGAACGAGAAGTAAGAACATTTGAAATATAATAGTCTGCCTTTTTAAAAACATTTCCCCAAATATTTCATTCTTCTAGGAGGGGTAGGCCCCGACTTTCTACATTCCCATTCCAAAACTCTCCAACTCTGCAACATGAAACTGCATGTCCTTTTAGAGGAAAGAAGCTGATGGATTTGAAAGTGGCTGGAACCTTTTATGTCAACAAGTCTCCGAATTTATAGGTGGTGGTAAGAGTAAACTACAAGTAGTGACAACGAGGCAGGAAAGACAGACCCAGACCCAATAATATGCATAAAATGGAAAAGAATGAGACTGAGAAAATTTGATTATATTTTTTTAGGGTTGTAAATATGTTTTATTTTCCATTTTCATTTTCGTACAGTCACACATATACTGTACAGAACTGGGGCTATATAACATTAAACAATAAACACGGCCATTCCTCTTGTCAATAATACCCCCCAAAATAGAAACCCAGTGTACCTCTTCGACCCTCCATACACCCTTTCTTTCGCCCCCCTCCAACTTTCCATCTTCCCACCATCATTCCCCTCTACCCTACTTCCCCTCCCCCTCTACCACACCTCTCTCCCAATACACTCCCTCCCTTCCTTCTCATCCTCCCTCCAATCCTCTCTCCCACCCTCTCTACCCCTCTTTCTTCTATCCCTCTACTCCTCCCTTCGGTGTATTTCTACTATCTATTAATATATCCAGCTTGTCCTATTTTAACACTGGAATTAAAGAGCAACAGTATACAAGTGCAATCGTGTTACTTTAAAATCTAGCACATATTATATATCCCCCCCCCCCAAATTTGATTATATTGAAAGGAAAGAAAAGGGACTGAGTGTAAATAACTGTAAGCTGTTCAGAAGGGGAGAAAGTTCTTGACGGGCTTCAGATTCACTTCCTCTCACTGTGTGTATCGAATACAGTAATAGACAGCTGTGTCCTCTGGTCTCAGATTATTCATTTGCAGATACAGCTGGCTTTTGGCATTGTCCCTGGAGGTGATGAATCATCCCTTGACTTTGTCTGAGTAGAAAATGGTAGCTGAAGAGGGATATATCTCTGAAACCCATTGACTTTCCCTGGGGCCTGTCTCATCCACTGCATGTAGTAGCTACTGAAGGTGAATCCAGAGGTTTGGCAGGAGAGATGGAGGGACTCCCCAGATCTCCTCACATTCCCTCCAGACTCCACCAACTGGACATCAGATCTGAAACCTAAAAGGAAAGATGTTTCCATGAGGTCTCTCCTGTAAACAAGAACAGCATATGGAAGAAAACTTTACATACAGGGAAACATTACTTCCAAGGGATACAAGTAAGGGCACCAACCTCACCCACAGAATCATTATTGCTCTGTCAGTAATGAATGGGTGGCAATTGAAAGGAGAGGAGTTGAGAAAATGCACAAACTTTGTGTTGTGAGTGTCCCTGGAAAAGGAAACCAACTGTGTGGCCTTTAAAGGGAAAATTGAGCCTTGATTTTCATATTCCTTGAAGATAAAAGACTTCCTCAGAGCGGGGATTTCATAGCTGCCCTTGCACAGTTCATGTAGGATTTCCCAGGTCAAAGAAAAAAATATAGATGGATAATTAATCAAAGACTTGTAAAAAATCCCCCCTTTTTCAAAAGTGATTCAGAGTAACAAAGGATGAAGAAGCAAGAAGAACATTTGAAAGAGACACATTCAAAATTCTTAAAAAAACAACAACAGTAGCACATTTGAGTTCAGGAAATATTTTGTACGTTTTCATTTTAATATGACCTTTTGAAGAAGCCCAAAAAAACTGTGTGTGTGTGTGTGTGTGTGTATGTAAATGTATTAGTTAAGATAAAAGATATTTATAATAATGTCAAGAGAAATAGTAATAACAATTGTAATAAAAATATTGTCAAATCACTCACTGTTGACTGAAAAATAATAGTAACCAGCAGGAACGGTGGGAGGGAGGGAAGAAGGAACCAAGGATGGATGAAAGAAAGAAAGAAAAAGAAAGAAAGAAAGAAAGAAAGAAAGAAAAGAAATGTAAAGAGAGAATAAAAAATACCTATTTTTATATGTACTAAATTTACTTTATAAGTACATTTGTAATATGAAATGTTAACATTGCAGTTATAAAAATGAGCTCATCCTTTTCTTTTATCCATCTTTTTCTAAACATGAAATAAAAAATAAAAACTATGACTGCATGTTTTTCTGTTGTTTGTAAAATGTTTATAAAGGTATTTTTTTTCCCTAATCAAAAATGTTAATTCCAAACAGTGACAACAAAACATGAAAACAATCCAATCTATACGTCTTGGAGAGGCCATTCTCTATTTATAAGATTTGGGAGTTTTGGTGCTACCCAGCTGTGGGGGAAACGCTTGAGGTATCAGATGATGGAAGGTAGATTAATGTAGAAAGAATGTAATGTTGCTTGAAGGTGGATTAATGTTTTTCCATCATATTCAAAATGTCTATGAAAGGTTTTCTAGTCAAAGATTAGAAAGAGAAACAACCTAGAATTAAGGAGAAAAACGGTGAGAGTAATCAACCAATGGAGCAGATTGACTTCNTGATGTTGCCTAGTTTGGTAATGGAACGTCTGCAAGAAAATCACCATGATCAGAGAACACTAAAGACCCCACAGTCATTCTCCTCCTCCTCCTCCTCCTCCTGCTCCTCCTCTTTAAAAAGCCCCACTCCCTTCTAACACTGATGCCGCTGCCTAGTTTGATAATGAAACGTCTGCAAGAAAATTGCCATGATCAGAGAACGCCAAAGATCTCCCACACACCAGCGTTAAACGGAGTTAAGAAATGATGCCCGAGTATAAAAGATTTGAAGCCATCACATTAGTATAAGATCTACAGAACTGGAATTAAAAGGGAGAATGGGAGAGATGGCATCTTTCTTTATCCTGATTAAACAGACCTTGAGATCTATCACCAACCCAAATCTCAAATCATATGGACCGGAAAGGAAGATAAGCTTTTTCCCTTCCAAATGAATTCACATAACAAAAGTTGCTTCAGGTCCTTTTCATACTACGGATCTGTAATATTTTCCAGACTCACCCAAGCGTGATTGAGCTAAAATAACAGTTATGCAGTCAAGCTTTCAGTCACGTCGTTGATGGCTGATGGGTGAAGATGCCTTATGTTGCTTCACGGAAAATTTTCTTTCTTTCTTTCTTTGCTGCATTTTTAAATCGGTCACCTCCCTTAGAGAGAGATACCCTGTTTCCCTGAAAATAAGACCTCCCCAGATAATTAGCCCAATCGGGCTTTTTAAGACAGGACTGTCCAAACCTGGGAACTTTTAAGACTTGTGGACTTCAACTCCCAGAATTCCCCATGGCTGGCTGGATCTACCACAACCACCCACCTTCTCCGCCCTCATCCAGTGAGCGCTACCATCGCATCATGATCTCCCACAGTCCAGCGTGTGAACCATTTGCCCGGTGATGCCATCACATCTTCCACTCTTCCCTCTCTGACACTCATGCGTTGCAAGGGCCAGATTTTACAAAAAATGCGAGCACAAAGTGCAGGGGTGGAATTCAGCCAGTTCGGACCCATTCTGGTGAACCGGATGTTGATTTTAATCTGGTTCGCCAAACTGGTAATTGCAAGAACTGGCTGACCCCACCAGTGGTGGGTTCCGGATCCCTTTCCAACCGGTAGGGTTGGAATAGTCCCGGCGGTATCCACATGGATGCACTCAGTGCGCCCATGAGTCTTACCACCTCTGCGAGCCTCCGCAACGCTCCAGCTGCTCAGCGGAGCGTTGTGCAGGCGCTGTACGCGCCATGCACCGTGCAGGAAGCGCAGAAGCCTTAAAAGACAGGTAAGGAGCTCGGGAGGGTAGGTGGGCCCTCCGGAGCACCATACCAGAACGGTATCCGGTGCTCTGGGCAGACTCCGGTACGCCCGTATCGGGGTGTACGGCCTGCAATCCACCACTGGACTCCACCCTCCTTAGCGTAGGGAGGGTGAAAAATGAGCCTATTGGAAGTCTGGAAATGGGCTCATTTCCGGTGTCAGGGGAGCCTCTGGAGCCTGGGGGAGGCCGTTTTCACCCTTCTGGAGGTTTGCGGAAAACCCCCAGAGCCTAGAGAGGGTGAAAATGCCTCACCCCCTCACTGTGGTACAGGAAGCCGACTCAGACCACGCCCCATAGCCACACCCACTCAGCAACCGGACAGAGAACTGGTTGCTAAAAAATTTCAATCCCACCCCTGTCCAAGCAATTACACTCCATTCACACAAGAGCCTGTAGTTTAGCACCATTGTACAAGGAGTCCTTGAATCACAAGCACAACTGAGCCCAACATTTTTGTTGCAAGTAAAGACCATTAAGTGAGCTTTGGTTCACCGACAAAAGGGCGAACGACAAAACCGTGCCCGACTAAACCGCGGTGACAAAACCGTGTGTTCTAAAGCGCTCCGATGAATGAGCACTGAATCGCACTGACAACAGCGCGGCGACAGAAGCGCGCTGTAAAACTAAACCTAACCTAAACCTAAATCTAACCCTAAACCTAACCCTTACCTTAAGTTAAATCGGCTTTCTGTCGACGCGCTGTTGTAACGCGCCCTTCTGTCTCCGCGCTGTTGTCGCCACGTTGATGACATCACGGTTTTAGCAACGTGGTTTAGTTGTTCGCCCTTTTCTCAGGTCACGGTGAGCTTTGCCCCCATACATTCGCTGTCAAGAGAATTGCTGCCGTTGTTACATTAACTACACGGTGTGGTTATTTGAATCTGCCTCCCCCCCATTGACTTTGCTGGTCAGAAGTTCACCAAAGGGGATTGCGTGACCCCAGGACACTGCAACCATCGTAAATACGAGTCACTTGCCAGCCCATCGTTCCCATCACTCACCTTTCTCATAAGTGATCTTGGTCTTGATATGCCTGTGCTCAGGGAGCAAGAGAGAGCATTGCTAAAACATGGCAACTCACCATGGAAGCCTCTGAAAAGTTGTGGAGCCTAGCTCTTTCAGCACACACAAGCCCGTCCCCTCCCACTTCCAGTTCCTTTCCCTTCCCGGGCCTGATCTCCTTCCTCCTACAATAGGGCGCCATATTTCTCTTACTCTCTCTCGCTCTCTCTCACTCTTTCTTTTCTGTATCTCTCGGAAATCAGCCTGGAGTTCAAAGCACTTTCACTGCCTTTTATGAGATAGAGTGTGATGTCATAGATGGGGGCAGGGCTAGTCAACTTTCATCCCACCTACCCACCTGTGCTGAAGGCGCTACGGTTGCAAACGGAAGTGGGGACTCTTCCATGGTGAGTAAAACCTTGTTTCTCAACTATGCCTTTCCGTGCAAGTGTAAAACAGATGCCGTTGTTTGGTGGGGGTGGGGGGATGTTGCTCCTTAGAGGAGGAATTGACTTTGAATCCATAACGGTGGTGTGATTTCAAATTGCTGGGAATCTCAGCGTGGCCCTTGTTTTAGGTTTCAAAGCATTGCTTTGGACTTGAAACAAGTATTAATTAATGCTGGTTAATAATCTAACAAGGGACGCGGTGGCTCAGTGGCTAAGATGTTGAGCTTGTCGATCAGAAAGGTCGGCAGTTTGGTGGTTTGAATCCCTAGCGCCGTGTAACGGAGTGAGCTCCCATTACTTGTCCCAGCTTCTGCCAACCTAGCGGTTCGAAAGCATGTAAAAAATGCAAGTAGAAAAATAGGAACCAGCTTTGATGGGAAGGTAACCGCGTTCCGTGCGCCTTCAGCATTTAGTCATACCGGTGACATGACCATAGAGACATCTTCGGACAGCGCTGGCTCTTTGGCTTTGAAACGGAGATGAGCACCGCCCCCTAGAATTGGGAACGACTAGTACATATGTGCGAGGGGAACCTTTACCTTCAATAACCCAACATTTAAATAAATAATCTATATTTATGGCAGGAGGCTGTTTCCAAGCAGGCCAGAACGTTTGTTGAAGAAACTTAAGGACATATAATATTAATAACTTAATATTGAAAGATGCAGGGCATTTTTTAAATTGTGGGTGTATTTTACTAATCTCCCATCCATATGTTACAGCGACTGCTGGCTTTAGCTATTCAGATAGGGTGGCTTCTGTTACTTCTGATGTCCCCAATTTGTTCTATAAATCAGATTTTGTAGGAGAAAAGCAGGCAGGCGGAGTTAAGTACATCATCAGTTTGGAGTCCGATTCCCTAACCACTACCCCAAACCGCCTATCTTAGTTACATTTAACCACTTTATATTTTTCTTCTTCTAGCAAACCGGACTGATTTCCAGTGCTTTTGCCCTTGCCTTCTTATTAGCCCTGCATAGCAAACAAAACTTATTTATCAGTATAATTATTTGTTATTGTTTCGGATGTTTATTTCCCCCTCCCTTGAGGGACAGGGGTTAATTAATCATTTCACCTTTAAATCCCACTTATTCCTCCGAAGACTTTTCTGCATGCCTAGAGAAGATCAAAGAGAAAAGGAAAGGAGTAATTCACTCTAGCCAAAAGGCACTTTAAGGAATTGCTTTCTGTGGGGAAACTGAGTCCCAAATACTCATCTCGAGTTAGTTGATCAACAGAGAAACAATGCAAATATTTTAAAACTGTCGCCGGGATGAATATCCTGTTCCAAGTGTACAGTTTGTTTGTTTCTTTGTTTGTACAAATATACCTTCTTTTCTTCCTGTACTTTGAGAAAGTCTCAGACAATTAGATTTTAGTGCTCTCTTTTTCTCGAGCGATTAGCAACTTCATTGTAAGTGAGTCGCCTGCTTGCATTCAAAGGAGAATTAATACGCCCGTCTTTTTTTCCCCCCCTTACACACAAAACACTGGAAAACCCCAAGTCGCTTTAGTCTCGCTCGATCCTCTTTTTGTAAGGAGGAAAAGCTGTGAATTAAAAAAAGAAAACTGGAGGTTAAAAGAAAATGGAACGGATTAGTTTCTAAAGGGAACATGGGAGGAGAAGTGGATAAGTCAAGGGCTTATTCCATTTTTATTCCCTATTCCTTTTTATTATTCCATTCACTTTGGGTGCCCACTGAAGCACACTTGCCTGTCAGAGCTGGTCTTAGGAGTTGAGTGTGCAGCTTCATTCGAGACCTTGCTTGAAAAATGCGCCCCATTACTCAGAATAGCAAAGTTGCACCTTTGAACCTTGAAGAAGACCAAATCGAGACATCCAGCATAAATAGCTGCTAATTAATGGGCAGGGACGAAGGGGAATGAAGTGACTCGAGGACCACAGATCAGGAGAAAACTCCCCGCTCCATCCTTCCAAGAATGACCGTCGTCTCCCGTCAAGGTCATATGTAAAATAAAAGTGATGTCCCGTCACAGCAAGACCATTAATTTTAGATAATGAGAAAAGGTGTAAAGGCTGTAGGGGTTGAAGCATGATCCAGTTTGCCTGGTTTCATAATTGGGCAGGTTTGCTATCTTCATCAGCTTTCCACAGTCTGATCCCAGAACGTCGGTACATCTAGAAGTAATTCTACACAAACTCTAATTATCTGGACGAAACTCCATTGCAAGACTCGGGACGTGTACTATGATTCCCTGAAAATACGACAGTGTCTTTATTTTCTCCTGACCCCCGAAATAAGCACCTGGTCTTATTTTCAGGGAGGTCNACTAGAACTCACCATGTCCTGGCGATTGGTTCAAAGTCACCTACATGGTCTCCATGCCTAAGGTGAGACTACAACTCACCATCTCCTGATTTATAGGCCATCACCGTAACCATCTATAGCAGTATTGGCAAACCTTTTGGGCACCGAGTGCTGAAACGGGAGTGTGTGGGAACCGGAAGAGCAGTTCCCCATATGTCTATAACGTGCACCAGGAAGCTGGTCTTCTGGTTTCTGGTGCATGAAGACCAGCTGTCCAGCACGCATGCGTGTGCTGGAAACCGGAAGAGCAACGTGCGACGGCTGGCGTGCCCGGAGAGATGGGTCTGCATGCCACTTCTGGCACATGTGCCATGGGTTCTCCATCACTGAGCTACAGTCTTTGTACAGTGTGTAAACTCAGCCCGACTCCTAGAAATTACTAGAAAGCCCATCTGGTCCAGCAGAAAGAAAATGTATCTTGGCATCTTACAAGATTTCACAGTGTTTACCTTTTGGAAGTCAAGGTGATGACTCCTGGGTGAAGGATCTGGGTGAGGAACGCTTGTTATTAAAATGAGGAACTTTATATATAAAATGATAACTTTATATAACTTTAACTTTAAATGATGTTAGTAATGTTTAAACTTTCGTCATTTAGTTGATATTTGCTGATTTTATCAACATCAAGGTGTGCTTTGTCAGTTTCAGCCCTAGGTATCAGACAATGGATCACAGTTCTGTCAAAGGAGGAGGTTGGACTAGATGGCCTCCAAGGTCCCTTTCAACTCTGACTTTTACTGAGTTGGAATGTTATTACTGTTAGGCTGACTGTACAGTGTATATTAGACTCGGTTCTTTCTTTCCCCCGCCCCCAAGTGAAAAAAGATGGAAGATAAATGCCTTTTTTTTGGTGGAAAGTGACCTTGAATCTGGAGATTAAAAATTAATTACCAGTTGAAAAATACATGCCAATGAATTGTTTTTAACAAAGTAGCTGAGGTTTTCATAATGCTCAGCATTCTACGTGAATAAGATAGCTCAGGGGCTTAGTTTGCTTGTGACAGTAAAGCAATATAGAGGTGTTTTTTTTTAAAGAAAATGTTAATATAGTTTAGGAATACCTCATTGCACTGTTCTTGACTATAGACCAAATCAAAACCATTTCTGAAGGCCGCTGGGTAAATCTCTGATTGCTCTACAAAGATCTAGGACTGTGGGTGCGAAATTTATGGCACATGTGCTACGGTTGGCACAGAGAGTCCTCTCCCAATGTCCTAAGTCGCTTTTTTCAGTGCGGTTGTAACTTTGAACAGTCACTAAACGAATTCTAAGTTGAGAACTATGCATATTTAATAAGAGTATTTAACTCTTTCCCACGCTAATCTGTAACAATATTCATGACTGGGAGAGACATGGTAACAAGNTTAAGACAGCACTGATTGCATTTCTAATTTTGTAGCAACCTCTGGCAAAAATTCTTCCTCCTCGATTTACAATTTATAAACAGAACGTCGTGAAAAAAAAACCAGATTTGTAATTCACGCGCTCGGTTGCATACCTCAAAACGTTATTAAAAGTTTCTGGTTTAAACGAAATTCCTGAGGTTTCGGGGCCCAAAAGGAATCATCGTCGGATCTAACACGTAGGACGGGAAGAAATTTGTTAAGGTGGTTAATTTCCCATGATCGAGTTGTCGTTCTCTTAATTGGCTGTAAAAAAAAAGAGGTCAGATCTTCCAGTATCTGGAGGAAAACAAATTGTCCATCGATAAAATGGATTTAAATGACTATGTCCAAGAAAAGTCCCTAAAGCTGATAGAAACCGTGTGAAACAAAAGGGGAAAAAAAAAGGCACAACTCTACTATTGATTGTGGCTGCATGTAGCACCACTGCTCACACTTTGAGGCATCGGCTTTGGTCTATTTTGATTCGATGCCGCATCTTGATTGGATAACAAATCCTCTCCAGGCAAACAAGGGTATCATGAAACAACCTTTGTTTTGCCAGTAAAAGATCCATGCATATATAGACACTTCCTTCTTGTGGCCTGCCGGCAGAGCTGGCAAAAGACTCAGACAGTGAGGAGGTTGGGGAGGAACCTGGGCCAGTCCTGGAGTCTGGGGAAGGCTCGGAGGAGGGCTCTGTGTTGGAGGCAGAGAGGGGGCCAGGGCCGTCCAACAGTTATCAGCTAACTTTAGAGACTGAGATCAGTGGGGCAGAAGAACAGCTGGAGCCTGTTCCCAATGTCCGCATGCTCAGAGCTGCCGGGAGAAGGGAACAACTAAGGAACAAGGGCTGACTCAGGAGTAAAGCCACAGGTGGACGGTGAATGGCCCCTCCCAGAGGGAATAAAAGAGGAGCGAAAGGGGAGGGGAGTTTGCAGGAGACAATTAGTTCCATTCATTAGGGTGAAGATCTGTTCCTGACTTCTTGCCNGAAGGAAGGAAGGAAGGAAGGAAGGAAGGAAGGAAGGAAGGAAGGAAGGAGAAAGAAAGAAAAGGGAGGGAGGGAAGAAAAAAGAAAGAGAAAGGAAAGAAAGGGGGAGGAAGGAAGGAAAGAAAAAGGAAAGAAAAGAGGGGAGGAAAGAAAAAGAAAGAGGGTGGCATGAAAAAAGGAAGGAAGGAAGCAGGAAAGAAAGAAGGAGGCAGGAAGGAAAGAAAGAAGGAAGAAAGCAGGAAGGAAAAAGAA